ACCTTTAAAATCTTGATGTGTTTAGAGTGTTTCTTTTTCTACAGGAACCATCAGAACATGTCAGAAGTTTCTGATCCGGTACAACACCCAGCAGCTCCACCGGATGCTCCCTAAATGTAAAAATGAAGGTAAAGGATTTGATTGAAAACATGTGATCTGTGAAGCAGTTGCTCATCCATCCAGGATAAAAAGATCATTACGAAATCAAGCCTGAGCAGACGGGAAAGAAGAAGTGGCCCTCAGGAGCTCTGGTGTGGCTCTGTGATGGGATGCCACTTATGCAACTAATCCAGTCGGTTCATTTCCTCTCCTAAATATTCCACCATCAACTATCAGTGGACAAATAAGGTGAAAGCAAATGGGAACGGGAATCCCAAAACAACTTTTACATTTCTGATATGATGCTGATATCAGAGCTTTGAGTATTTTCTGATGCCGATATCTTCCTGATATATAAACATGAATTATATATACTTGATCACTTATTCTGTACGAATGCTAGAAAAGGTTTGATCAATTGATGTTATTCAAACAGAGGACAATTGTAGGTAAGAATAGGTAGGAGAAAAACGACCTGTTTATTATGAACCAACGGGTCATAGAAACTAAACAAAAGCAGATTGAAGCAGAATCTTTAAATCAGAGATTTTAGATCTAGGCAGGTAAAATCTAATATTCATTTTTTGTTTGATATCAGACTGATTTCCGATATCGATCATGGATCAGGAGTCCTAACTTCAACCAGAAAGAACATCTTATGGAGGAATTAGAGCAGAAACTTAGAGCCAGGCCTTCTGATCCAACACAACACTGCAAAAAATGAAATTTCAGTCACTAATTTTTTCTTAAAATAAGTAAATTTTTCTTGAATTAAGGAGGTAAGTGAGACACTTTGCCAATGGAACAAGACAATTTACATTTAAAATAAGAAAAAACAATTGCATTGTCTTATTTCAAGTTGATGTTATATAATTATCTTATTTTAAAAGTAAAAAGACTCATTTCATTGGCAAATCATCTTATTTACTTGCTCAAATTTAGGTTAAATACACTTAATTTAAATTTTTTTTACTTATTTCTGGATCGTGTTTCCAGTGCAGTGTCTGACCTCACACATGTGCATCTGAAATGTTCCTTAAACTAAGCCTTGTGGAGCGCCTTCCAGAGGAGAAGAAGCTGTTATATCTGCACAGGAAGAACCCAGCTGACACTAAAACCCTTAGATCATACTGAGTTTTTATTAGTGGTGGACCGTTAACGGCGGACTCTTATCGGGCGATAACAAAAAACATCTCCGTTAATCTATTCTCATAGCTGATTGGGAGCTGGGTCTACACTAATGATGACTTTCATCTTGATATTTTAGCGTGGCTGTATTTCTGAGGGCGAGAATAAATCAGTCTTTCAACCTGTGTAGGCGTACAGTACTGCTAAATCATCATATTTAACGTGAAGCGTTGTTGGAGCCTCTTGAGAATTAGATTAATTTCTTTTTTGCTAAATTATTAATGTTATAGATCTAAGGGTATGGGAACGGTAGATCTATTGTTATTTGTTTATTTATCTGATTTGATCCTCCTGCTTGTCAATCTGCCTCCTGCTGTGATTAACAAGCAGAAGCAGCTGTGGTGGGTGATCTGATTGGTTGGTGAAGGAGTGAAACAGGTTTTCTAACGCCAATCAACGTTTATATTTAAAAAATTTATTGTTTTAACTAAATATAAACGCTATTTCTAGCTAGAAAACACCATCTAAAACCAGAAAACTCTCTGCCAGTGCTCCCTCCCCTCCTAAAAACTACTCTGGCATTTTTTTTGATTTTTGGGAACTTATTATCTTGCACGAGTAGCCGTAACACATAGAAAAACTTCACTGATGAATTGAAGAAACGGGTTTGAGTTTATGAATGAAAGCACTGCTGTGCTGCAGAGAAACAATTGATCACCACAGAAAGCAAAGTTTTTGATTTTGGAAAAGGATTGTGGCAAAGAAGGATGTTTGTTGGTGAACTTTTTCGAAATCTGTGTGATACTTAATGATGTTTGACTCTGAAACTCCACCTGCGTCTGAAAACATTTCAAACATGGATGCAGCTATAAAGACGCCGGGTTTGCTTCAGGGAAAATGAATTGAAAAGGTTATTTAGGTAGCAAACACTTATCATGAATTTCTTTGGCAGAATTCAAATGAGTGATTTTAATCTAGATTAATTCCAAGATGACAGTGAGATTAATCTAGATAAAAAAAAATCTATGCCCACCACTAGTTTTTAACTAAACAGCCTCATAATAACTTTGAACCTGTTTGTTTATATTTTCTTATGTCTTTATAGTCTGATAACTTTTTATTCTGTGGTTTTCTGAAACCTTGTGTTGGATGTTTTTGTTTTGCAGAAGAAAAGCGACAGATTGAAGAATCGATTCTAAGCTGCTCTCTAGTGGACAGAGACGACGACGGATTTAAAGATGAGCTGGAGAGCGAAGAAGATGAGGTGTAAAAACCAGCCGGGCGCTCAGAGCCGGTTCTATCCTAGAAAAGGCTGATTGAAGTAGTTCAGTTCAGCAGCTCTGATTGGTTGAGCTTCGTTTAGCAGCATTAGAAAGCCTGCTGGGTCCACTGTTACCAAACCCATCAGCGAACTGGTTATAGATGCATATATACCTGCAGAACTGTTTTCTTTTTTTTGCCTTTGTTTATTAACTTGGTCATTTATGCTGCTGAAACCAAAGGAGCTCATTAGTGTAATTTATAGGGCTGTTCAGTGGTAATAAAAACATCAGTATTAGTTAACTGAGGCATCAGTTTATCTAAGTCTGATGTTCAGAAATGATCACGTTTCTTTAGGAAAGAAGGTGTTATTTCTGATTTTTATAAAAAAAAATATTGTGACCTTATTTTAAGTTTGTTTATTTTAAATTTATTTACTTTAATTTTGAACATTTTTATATAATAAATATTGTTTTTTTTTTTTTTGTTTCTAATATGTCTTTTTTATTTGTCTATTTTTCTTTACATCTTCATAAACTTAAAACAACCTTAAATCCGAGTTAAACAGTGTTTACTAAACACGTTAGTCATAACAAACTGTTATATTTTTTTAAATGTTTGTTGAGTTTCTAAAATAAAACTTTATAGATCAGGTATGATTTCTGAATCAGGACGAAGCGTTTGCTGTAGCAGCTTCTATGTTGTGGAATAAGTTGCCAGGCCTCCTTTAGAAATGTTTTTTATTCCTTGGCTTTTAACACTATGGTCTAGTTTTAAATTACACTACTGATGTTTATGAACCTGGTTATTGTTTTATCTACCTGTTTTCCTTCACCTTTATGCCAAGTGGGTTCGTGAGGGCTGCTGGTGCCCATCTTCAGCTGTCTACGGGCCAGAGGCAGGGTCCATTCTGGACAGGTGGACAGTCCATCGCAGGGCAACACAGACAAACAACCATTCACGCTCACACCTAAGGAGAATTTAGAGAAACCAATTAACCTAACAGTCATGTTTTTAGACTTTTGGAGGAAGCTGGAGTACCCGGAGAGAACCCATGCATGCTCAGGGAGAACCACTGATTCTCTATTTATTCATTGGATTGCTGATAGCCTGTATTACGGGGGATGAAGTGAAGCCACCGGACGCCATATTAGTACTCCCTAGTTATAGCGGTTAAAACATAAACAATATGTGTGCTACAACATCAAACAATGATAATGTTCTCATTTTCAGGGGAAGTTAAGACTTTTAAAATAAAGATCAATTCATCACTTGGACACACACTGGCTGTTAGTAGATTAGTTTAACATCTAATAGAAAAAAATAGGCACATCATATTGCATAGTCATTATGAAGTCAGTGAACTCTATAAATCATGTAATTTAATATATTATACAAAACCTTTACAATAAAATAAATGTGTTAATGGAGCATAATAGAACAGACATGCCAAAAATGCTAAATTGATTAAGTAAATGTAATATACATGTATTTATTGCATTGTTATGGTAATTACATCCTACATATAATTTTAAGATTTTAGATAAAGACTGAATGACAAGCACATGTCTGTTATTGCTATAATATTTTTCTATTTGCAAATTGTGCATGCATGATGCCATATACTTTTATACTGTGTGCATTAGTCTTTAAATCTGACAGATTTACAATGGAGCTAAATTATATTCATTGATGACATTGATGTTTCTGCATGTCGTGGTTTTCTCACATATTGAATATTGTTCTACAGCCTGGTCTCTTACAAATGAAACCACTGTTAAACAAATAGAATCATTATATAAAAAAGATTTAAAGATTTTTGATTTTAAAAAAAACTTTTTCGTACCACCGTTATCACATTCTTGACACTTTCAATCTCCTCAAGTTTGAGAATTATAAACACCTTAAATTTGCTTGCATGGTTTATAAAGTACATAATGGACTGGAATCATGTTCTGTCAAAGCCACTCATTCTACAGCTAGAGGAGACTGAAGTGCCCTTCAGACGAACCACCTTTGGGCAGATTAATCTTTCAGTAAGGGGCTGTAATATTTGGAACAGCATCCCTCTCACCATCACAGAATCCTCCATTTTTAACACATTCAGGAGTCGGTTAAAAAACTGGTCAAAATCAAATCAACAATTTGCTCATTAGACCTTATTACACTGATATCCTGGTGCATGACTAAGACAAATGTCAGTGTCAGGTGTTAATTTGTAAATATCTGTACATATTTATGCTTATATCTCTGTTTGAACTGACCTGCCCTTGCAAGTATGTAGCCTCATTGTTTTTTAAATTATCTCTTTCTTTTATAATATTTTTGTAATTGATGTTGGCATTATAAACCTTGCCCAGGAACAACAGTTGAAAACTAGCTTCATAGCTAATAGTGACACATGTACAGAAATATTCATTAATGTGTACTGCGACAAATAAATAAATACAAAATAAATAGATAAGAAGGGATAGACACAAGGGATGTAGGAGAGTTTATTTATTAAGAGGGGAATAAAACATAAGTTTAGAAAATTGTTAAGTGATAAGATAAATATCAGTTAAAGATTACATAGAGGATAAAATAATTATTAAAATTGGTTTAACCTTATGGGAACAAAATATATGAGTTAGAATACGTTTGTTCCACACTTTGTACCAGTAGGTGGCGGTAGTGTACCTTCGAACAGAAGAAGAAGAACTTTGCTCTTTAGCTTCATAATGGCGCCGCTTTCTGCTTGTTTCTTCCTCTGAGTCCAGTTAATGCGAAGCTCTGATAAATGGCTCTTATTTTCTAACATGAGGTTTTTATCTTTACTGTGTGGTTTTGGCTCATGTGAGTATTGTTTATTATTATTTGAATATTCTCAGTTGGCTAACCGTTAGCAGACGAACAAGCTAAAAACAAAGCTAAAAACATTAGCTTCAGTCTTAGAAAATCTCTTTTATTTCCTGTTTTTCATGTCTTTTACGTCTCTATTAATGAATTATATCATATATTATTATATGAAAATGTTTTCCGATTGTGAAAATGTTTTAAACATTGTCAAAGTTATATTCTGATTCTTTGTCTCCCTGTCCAGAGCAGTTTTGCTGTAGCTCTAACATCTTCCTGTCTTTGAACTTTGAATATTTTTTCTGCTTTTTTGATAAGTGATCATTAGATCCTCTAATGTCAGTTTAGTTCATAAGTTTGTTTCGTTAAGGCTATGATCCTTGTTTGCGCCAGCTTATAACTCATTATCAGTCATCATCTTTATAACTAAATCAAACGCTATATGAAAGAGTTTAGTTTGGTTACCAAAGAAAACCAAAATTAATTTTATTTCTTGTGAAACAAAAAATATTTATTTGAGCTGTAAGGTCTGAACATTACCCATTTTGGACACTAGGTGGAGCGCTAATGGAATTATAAAGTGAGAGGTTTGAGGCACATTTAGGCCTTTAATTCATGCATGAACAGCAAAAGAACACATAAATGCAAAAATACAAACATTATATACCAAAATTAAAAAGCTATAAAAATCACATGTATATTTTATAAAAGTTAAAAAACAATCCACTAAACTTTGTTTCCAAGTTTGATTATGTTTCTGTTCATATGTTTCTCCCATACCCATCTATGTAGCAACCCCCACCCCCTTACAGGGGGACTGAAGACTTCGCTTGATCAACCAGGCCAACAATTCTCTCTAACGACCCCTTTCAGGGACATAGACAGATATGGGGTATTGTGGGCTAACAGAGAAGCAGAAGAGAAGGACCCCATTCCAAAGGGGTGGACTCGTTTGTCCGTCGCAATCTGCATGTTTTCTAAGCCAAAACAAGTTTTTGTTGGGCTACTGTATAAAACCTCGAACTCGAACGCTATTTCTTACATTTTTAATTCAAAAAGCTTCCTGGATGCGAAGGGAAACATTTTCAAACTTGGAAACAAAGTCCAGTGGATTGTTTTTTTTAAAAACTGTTTTGGAATTACAATGACCTGGATGACTGAGAATCTTCACCGGCAATCACATGATATAAAAATTGGAAAACATGGAGCTTCAGATATGCAGCGTAGTGTATAACCTTTTTTTTCTTATTATTTTATGAACTATAAATGAAAATGAGGAGATCTGCTGAAAATGACGGAAACTAGTGAATGTGTTTGAAATCATGGTTGGAGTTCAACTGCCGCTGGGAGAAAAGATCAAGCCAGGCATTAAGAAGCACTTTGGTTATGGAGTCATGCAGGGACTGGGAGACATTGTTCAGGAGGGTTGTTACTATGGTTACAGTGCTCCATTCTCACACCACCTACTTTGAAGAAAATGTCTAAATGTGCACATTTAACAACCACTGAGTCACATTTATTGTAAATATAGAAATCAAGAAATGTTTGAACTTTGCATTATTTTATGCAACATTTTCCAAATGTGATTTTTTTTCCTACTTCTGTTTTATGAAGGTTTGAGTCATTTTTAAAAATTATCTTCCTCATCTGACCCTTTACACAGAGCTGCTGTCATGAGGAAGAGGAAGAAGAAGACTTTGGTTCCGTCTCTTCTGTGATCTCCATCCGTCTGGATGGATGATGTGGTTCTGCACTACCAGCCTGGATCAGCTGTCAGGCTCTCCTGCCTGTTGGAGCAGACAGAGAAGCTTCTGGAGCCCTTTACCTGCCGGCCTCCTCCTGTCTTCAGCCCCTGGTTCCCTACCGTCGCCGCAGAGCACCGGCTGCCCATCAGGCCGGCCAAACCAGCTCCTCAGATCACCTCTGCTGGTGTCACACTGACAACGACGACAGCTACAGAAAATAAATTACAAACAGGAAACCCTATCATCTCTGCAGAGACACAACCTGAACAGACAGAAGAGCCTCTCTGCATCACAGAAACTCCCAACCACCTCCTGCCGGTTCGATCAGCCCCAGCTGTATCTCATAGAGAACATCCAGGGACAGAGGGAGACGGGTCACCGGTCCGACGCTCCTGGAGCGTCTTCACGCAGAAAGGAGTCCTGCTGCAGAAGTCCTTGTCCAAACATTTCCATCGCCTGGTGTCCGTCCACAGGCTCCACCTCCGCCAGCGGGCCAAGTGGGTGATTACACAGCAGAACTGCAGAGATGTGGAGAAGGTATGTGACTTTCTATAGAAACGAGAGGAGCTGTTTCTTCACACA